TTTTCCAAGTCATTTTGGGTCATTTCTTTTGGTCCATTCATCATGAAATTCACACATAATGTAAAGGACAACAGGAATTTTCAAATTATGTCAAAAACTGAAAAACAACAAAGATGGAGATACAAGGTTTTCTTCCGACAGCAGCGATATGCAACTTTTAGAAGATGGACTCTGCTCTGTGAGTTTGTGTGGTTTACTGCTTTGTGGCTCATAGACACTAACATCTCACAATAATACCACTTACAATTAACTGGGGCAGATTTACAAGTGCAGAAATTTCATGAACTGACTTGTAGCAAAGATGGTATCTTATAACAGTGCCACGTTTAACGTCACTTAGCTCATCAGTACGACCCTTTCTACTGCTAATGTTGGTCTATGGAGATTATATGTGTTTTAGTTTACACACTTGTTAGCGATAGATGCAGCTTAAATACCCGAAGTAATAAGGAGGGGTGTCCACATACTCCCAGCCATATAGTGTACACCGATCGGGCATAACATTATGACCACCTCCTTGTTTCTACACTCATTGTCCATTTTATCAGCTCCACTTACTATATAGGTGCACTTTGTAGTTAGTACAGTTACAGACTGTAGTCCATCTGTTTCTCTGATACTTTGTTAGCCCCCTTTTACCCTGTTCTTCAGTGGTCAGGGTGGAGGATTCTCAGCAATGCAGTAACACTGACGTGGTGGTGGTGTGTTGTGCTGGAATGAGTGGATCAGACACAGCAGTGCTGCTGGAGTTTTTAAACACCTCAGTGTCACTGCTGGACTAAGAATAGTCCACCAACCAAAAATGTCCAGCCGACAGCGTCCTGTGGGCAGCGTCCTGTGACCACTGATGAAGGACTAGAGGATGACCAACACAAACTGTGCAGCAGCAGATGAGCTTTTGTCTGTGACTTTACATCTACAAGGTGGACTGACAAGGTAGGAGTGTCTAATAGAGTGGACAGTGAGTGGACACAGTGTTTAAAAACTCCAGCAGCACTTCTGTGTCTGATCCACTCAGACCAGCACAACTCACACTAACACACCACCACCACGTCAGTGTTACTGCAGTGCTGAGAATGATCCACCACCCAAATAGTACCTGCTCTGAGGGTCCATGGGGTCCTGACCACTGAAGAACAGGGTAAAAGGGGGCTAACAAAGTGTGCAGAGAAACAGATGGACTACAGTCTGTAACTGTAGAACTACAAAGTGCACCTATATAGTAAGTGGAGCTAATAAAATGGACAATGAGCATAGAAACAAGGTCACAATGTTATGCCTGATCGGTGTATGTGATAAAATTGGGAATGTTAGAGTAGGAAGACGCCCACTTGAGGCACTCCAGCAGAAAACAAGGTAAACAATGCACTATGGAGTGAGATCAGTGGCTTCTAATGAAATGCGGCATGGAAAACAGAAGAGTGGCTATTCATTGTTTCACTGTCTAGCATCAAAGGGATGGGAAACAATACGTCCAATAGCTCAGCATGCAGAGAGTTTGTTTACAATTGGACTATTGATCCTCTTTTGGGCTTTTGAGGCTGCCATAGGCATCACGTTTTTCATGTTTCTCACAGAGGACTGGCAGCGGAATCGACCGCATCTTTAATTTCCTAATTTTGTATACGTTCCAGGATGGTCATTGTTTATCCAGGAGCTGGTTTTGATCTTTAATTTCTTTCACAGTCTGCCTGGCTTACTGATGTAGAGAGACTGTGTAGGTTGACATCAATCAATTTAGATGTAAAACAGCTTCATTGGGGCTTTTCTCTAATACATTTCACAGTGCATGCAAACACGATGCAACCACGACCACGCCACAGCACGAGACTCGTAATCAGCAGCATAAACACCGATTAGGAATGTGTTCAGCTCACATTAATGTAAATTTATGCACGCTGATGAGCACATTTTAAATGGCACGACGAGTAGGAATCAATTAAAGAGCCGGACCCTGAGGAGTATCACTGCACTGAATGAAACTAATAATGACCACACTCCCATCCAGAATCAATGGAGCCTCAAGGGCAAAAACGCAGGGGTGAGGATTTGAGTAAGGGTGCAGTTTTTATGGCTGATTCCAGTTTTGATTTCTTGAAAAGATCTTTAAATGCACGATTTGTCTCCACATACAAAGATCAGAATTGTCCAGGCTATGGTCATCCCTGTTGGTTATTTATGGATATAAAAACTGGAGGATGGACTCTGCTCTGTGAGTTTGTGTAGTTTACCACTTTGTGTGTAAAGACTTTTGAGATTACCATAGACGGCAAAGAAAGCGAATGGATCCTCAACCAAATCAAATCTTATTTTGGACATTTTCTAGAGCAGGAGTGCTCAATCCTGGTCCTGGAGATCTGCCACCCTGCAGAGTTTAGCTCCACTCCTAATCTAACACACCTGATCCAGGTAATCAAGGTCTTCAGGAGCACCATGAATATTAGAGTCAGGTGTGCTGGATCTGAACTCTCCAGGGTGGTAGATCTCCAGGACCAGGATTGAGCTCTCGTGTTCTAGAGGAACCAATTAATTGGAGAAGACTGTTATTAACATACTGTTGATGGCAAAAGAGGAATAAGACAACCAGCTACAATATACAATGATGGATATAATCAGAAGAGTCATGAACCAGCCACTGAGAAGCATGAAGACCAAATTGTGCCTTTTTTTTACCTTCTAGACCCCACATTGGCTTCTGCTGGCCACTCTGCATTTCACTGTAATGAGCAGATCAGCGTGACTTAATGAGGTGAATTCTGATGCAAAACCTTTTTACCGAGATCTTCGACATAAATTACATTTTAGATCATTAGATATTTCGTTTTTTTAATTCCTACATTTCGATGTTTCATAACGAAATCTTTTTTCATATTCCTACATCCTTTTTCATGATGAACCCCCACAATGAGGATGAGACTTACAGCATTTAAAAATATTTTATTTATCAAATATGGAGACTGACAGGATTTTAGCTCATCGACACAGAGGTGATGACATGGAAGTAGGTTAAAGATGCCAATCTTCTAAAATCTTTCTTTAGCGATATGATTTCATAGTTATTTTAGCTGCTTTACTGAACCAAGTTCATGCCCCGGCAGAAGTGAGGAAACTTCAGTAGGCAAATATAAATTTCGCTTTAGCCGTTAGGCTTTTTAACCTTTACAAATCAGCTAAACTGGTTAGCCTCACATCTCTGGGTTTTCCTCTTTCAGGAAGTCTCAGCTCCACTGACCAACTGAGAGAGCGATGACGCACTCATGCAGTCACAATTAGAACTGAACAAATGAACTTATGTTTGGTTTATTTCCCTTTGTGTAAACACTGGTTGTCTCCTACATATGACTTAATATCTATTACTTTAGCCTACAGTCCAATTCAGTTCAAAGAAACAGGGAGACTTTGTATCTGGAGAGAGTTCCTGGGTTAAATCTGCAGCCTTTAGCCACACAGCCATGACATGGTGATTATCACTTCATCACTTAGAAATAATCAACTTCATTAGTCGTTGTAGTTAGTCTGTTTACTATACCTGTCCATTATTATCTACATATTCAGATTTTGATTATGTATTTTCAATATTACACTTATAATGCCTTTTACAACTTCACTGCTCATTGTCCCTCCAGTTCTAAACTGACAGCTTTGTATTTATTTCTATCCTTTGGTTTTGTATTCATATTAAAGTGGTGAGATTTTACCTGGATTTATGATAAAAGGTTTTGTTTAACACAGTGATTAAACAGGTCTCTAACCCTGACAATGGTAAAAGTGTTTTAGGATTCTACTGGGGTCTAATGGGTTAAAGCAACAAGCAAGAAAGACAGAAATGTTATTTGGAACACATGCATGAAAATACTGAAAATACAAGCTTGTCATTGTGGGTTGTTTACTTCCAGTGTAAATTCACAGAAAACATGCGAACCCTTTTCATGCATTTGGCATGATGCTTGTTCAATTGTTTTAATTGTAAATCAGTTTAAATCCACTCTCTTTATTCATGGCATGTCACGATATATAAATGTAGTCTACATTTTGCATTTGACTGGCTTTGGTCAGCGAGCCAGAGCCTATCAGAGTATGTGATCTGGAGATGTAAAAGGCAGGGGAGGCACATTCGTGCACAGCACCGGAAAATGGGTACGCAGATTGGCTTTGGTTAGCTTGTCTCAGCCAGTCGGAGTTTCTGATTAAGAGAAAGTTGTGGTGGGAGAGTCTTTCGGCAACACTGAGAAAGAAGAAAGAGAAAAGCAAGAAAAGCCACCCAAAAAAATAAAAAACAGAAAAACAACAAATATGACCAAGGGGATATTTTTTAGACACACAAGGCTCTAGAACTGCAGTTACAGCACAGAATGACGTACACTGTGACAACTTTTCACAACCCGAATCAACGTCATGATGCAGATGATACACACTGTGTAAAACATACAAAAAACTGACCCCTGCAAACCGACACCTTGCAAAGTGCTCATTTTTAACTGTGGACAGAAAAAGCCAAAAGCACTTTCATATATAAGCAATGTTCCAATAGAAATGGGGGACGACAAAAAAAGGGCATACATCGAAAAGAAAAAGTAGTAAAAACTTCAAGTAACATGCATTTTAAGTCAAAGGGTTTTGTGGTTTTGTGGTTTTTAATTAAAACTGCAAAAAAAATATGCTCATTTTTGTGCTACTGTGCTTTATGGGCTCATTCACAAACAAAGTGTGTAGAAATTGTGTAGAACTTGGTTCTGTCCAAAAATACAAATAGGAAAGTACAAAACTTAAAAGTATACAAAGGTGGAAATGTGTCAATGTAGGATTAATCAGAGTAACGATAAAACATGACAGTTAGTTTGTGACATAAACAAAAAAAAAATATATCTACCTTTTTAGATCATGTTCATCACTTACCAAATGAATGCAATAAATACAAGGAATAAAATAAAAACAGATCACCATCACATGTTAGGAGTGACTCCTCGCTAATTTTCGCCTAGATTTGAGAGTAGTCTTACCTCCTGTTGGCCTGGACTCTCCGGTCTCCTTTCTTCCATGTTATCCGGGGCTTGGGTGAAGCTCGCGGTCTGCACTCCAGAGAAATATCTTTGCCCATTGTTGCGATGATGGTCACTGTGTTAGTGTTGAACATGGGCGCTGATGCTGGAAAAAACAGGAAATTACAGTTAGTTAGTTACACATTCTTACAGAAAAAGCCAGTGTTCTTTAATGCTACATACTGTTTAAAGGTTTAGCATTAGCCCTGCCACAATTATTACATAATCACGTGTGTCTGTCTTCACTAAGTGTCAGCAGATACAAAGCAAGATAGCTAATCAGACAATTTGGCCACTTTAGGCTTGTATTGCATTCAGTGCCCCAAAATTACAATTAATCTGTTAATCCCAATTATTTGTGTGGCAATTAACTAAAATTATCAGCTAAAATTTCATGGTTCTGGCAGGCCTGTAAGGCAACACCCTTTTCAGTAATATAAATGAATTTTATTCTAAACAAAAGTCATATGCAAACGTTTGGACACCCCTTGCCAAATGAAGTTTTGTTGATTTTCCTACCGTGTATTTGCTGAAATTAACATAAAATTGGCTTGTATAAAACTTGGCATGTTTTATTTTTTACGCCTTTTTTTCAAATATGTTAAACTCCAGAATGCCTCATACTTACAAAATTACAAAAATATGGTGTCTAGTTTATCATGATCCACTAAAGTATTGCTTTTTGATATGAGGATATGAGGACATAAACTGGTTTCACATCACAATATGCTTGAAATATATCTATAGACAAGTAATTGCAGCTGCTCCTTAAGAGTCATGCAGTACAGCACCTGGGGAAATTTCTACAAAACACAGAGTATGAAGCCAATCTTATATCCTGTAGCAAAGAGTCTGACATCTTACAGTGATCAGCCTTTACAGCCGTGTACTGAATTGACCAAGACTGTTTTTATGTCCGCTTCGTTTGCTAAAGTCCGCACCAGAGTTTGAGACACTGACATTCTTTTTCAATTGGTTTAGTTGTTTTCACAAGTACCTCTGATTCTACACCTGTGTGTACACAAATTGGTCAGGGGCTTAGCACATTAGCTTCAATTAGTGTCCATAAAAATAATCTTTTTTTTAAGATGGTAAACATCTACATGCATCACAATCAAAGCAACCTGCTCCCCTATGACTGATTGGTTTAATTATGCTTCAATTTCAATTTAACCAATCAGGTCACTGATGCCTGACCCCAAAATCTACTATGCAGCCCACGTGCTAAGATCAAACGTGCTGCTATGCTATGATTTTACTGCTTGTACTTACTTGCACTCTATTAACTTCATACTGCAGCAATAATATGAGAATTTGTAAAGAAATGTAAAAACAGGCAATTTGTGCAGATAGTATAGTCCTAGTTAAACGACCCTTTATTATTTTTTCACCTCCACATTTTAACCCATCCGTGCTGTGAAACACCACCTACACACTAGAGAACACACACACACTAGGGGCCAGTGAGGGCACTTGCCCAGAGTGGTGGACAGCCCTATCCACAGCACCCAGGGAGCAGTTGGGGGTTAGGTGTCTTGCTCAAGGGCACTTCAGTCACGTACTGTCGGCTCAGGAGATCAAACTGTCGACCTTCCAGTTACAAGGGTGGTTCCCCAACCTCCAGCTCATGACTGCCCCCAGCCTCAGAAACTTGCGCCCCCTTTTTCACAAAAAGCTGACCACAACTATTGAAATTTTGTCAGTTGCATTCTGATTGGCTATCCGAATGTCTGTGTACGTACTTTTGTGCAGGATTTTAACTATTCGGACGGAAAACAGAGTTATGTTTTTCCATGCAATAGCAGACAGATGCCTGCACTGGACACTGTGAGGAGAAATGAGCCTTTCAAAGCAGATATACTGTATCTCTGGGATTTTTCATAATGGCCTTCCCTACATATCGAACCAAAACAGAGAGCTGTAATTGGTCGTCTGGCAAGTCAGTCAAATGGCCTCTTCTTGCTAAAGTAGGCAGTTCTTGGCCTTGTTATGTGGTGAAAAGTACAAGATTCTGTGCTGATAAGCAGCAGTCTGGCTTGTTAAGGTAACACAGCACTGACGTGATACTGGAAGAAAAGGAGAGCCTGCTCTAATGTTGAATTCCCTCGACAGAACAGGCAGACAAACTAAATGTGGTCAAATCCATCAACCAGTTACAAACAAAGGGAGGTCAAAAATCAAAAAGGAAGTCAATCGGAGGAACTAACAAAGCATACTTGGAAACACGGAATTACATGAAAAACGGCCAGAACAAAACCAGAGCCAAATTCATTTAACCATCCACAGGGGCACGTTAATCTCGAACCGCTCTGCACTGTTTTGCTACAGCTTACAGTGATACAGTGTTGAATGACATGTTTAGTCAAAACGGTGTGAAACAGTGTACAACAGGCTTTGGATTACGCTTTCTCTCATTTGATGGGTGTGTTAGAAGTGTTACTCAATCAGCATTGACATATATGGTGCTGTTGCCGGAAGAAAACCTCATATCTCCGAAGTGGTAACTTTACAGGAGAAGGAAAAAACCCACTGTGCTTTTAATGTAAGTCAATGGAATGAGAATTTTTTCCCAAGTCATTTTGGGTCATTTCTTTTAATCCATACATCATGAAATTTACACACAATATAAAGGGCCACAGGCATTTTCAAACTATATCAAAAACTGAAAAATGACAAAAATGGAGTTGTGAAATTTGAGTGAAAAGTAGATTCTTTGTAAAATTAATATAAATTTCAGAATTCCAGAATGACAGCATGCAATTGAGCTCGCATGGACTCCACAAAGTTTTAAAAGCCTGTGATGAGTAGACAAATCCACTTGAAAGTCATCTAAACACAGGCTTTAATGGACAGGATAAAACTCAAAAATCTGACCTTTTTGGCCTTAAAATGGTCAGTGTCACAAATTTGCTTAAATTTGAGTAGTGACCTAGAAACAATGCATAATCTAGGATATTTCTGTTTCATTTTCCAGTCATAACTTTTCTTTGTTTTAAAATTTTTAGCTATTAAAGTTATTTATTTCCATGTTTAAAAGAAAATAATACAGATTTTCAATGTGGTCTCAGACTTTTGATCCACACTGTATGTACAACCAACGAGACCAAAGAAGACTAACCGTAGGCCTTTCAGAAGCAGAGGACCCAGTTATGCTTTTGAGAGGGATGGCATGACGATGGCAGTCATGCGTCCATGAGCAATGTGCTCATAATTAGCTGCCTCATCGTCATGCTCGAGCATCCAGTAGAAGTAAAATATTTCCAGGCTAAGCGATAAAAATAATTCAGCCCTCGACTGACGCGTTTAAAGATAATTACCGTTAAATGTCTAATCTGTCTGCAGGGAGGCTCTCGGCGGCCTGACGCATCTGATGAGTCCAATGTTGTTGGAGGAAAAAAAAACTGGAAAGTCAAAATGCTGGTTAAGTCCGGGGTACAGCTTTAGCTGACCTTCATGGCAGTGACAGCAGTGAGTCAGAAAAAAAGCAACTGGGAAATGGGGAGCTAGCAGATAAACAGCAGAGAATGACAAATTCCCTGAACAATGAATTCTCAGGATTTCCACAAAGTTGATAAATATGTCAGTAAATAAAGAATATCGCTGCTGTCTGAACAAAACCTCGTATCTCCATTTTTGACGTTTTTCAGTTTTTAACATAATTCGAAAATGCCTACTGCTCTTTATATTGTGTGTAAATTTCATGAAGAATAGATTAAGAGAAATGACCTAAAATGACTTGGAAAAAACTCTGGTTCCATTGACTTACATTAAAAGCGCAGCAGGTTTTTTCCTTCTCCTGTAAAGTTACCACTTCGGATATATAAGGTTTTCTTCAGTGATATATATGTCAATGCTGATTGAATAACACTTCTAACACACCCATCAAAAGCCTAATTCAAAGCCTGTTTCACACTGTTTCACACCGTTTTGACTAAACATGTCATTCAACTCTGAAGCTGTAGCAAAACAGTGCAGAAGGTTGAAGATGGTGATGGTTAAATGAATTTGGCTCTGGTTTTGTTCTGGATGTTTTTCATGTAATTTCATGTTTCCAAGTGTGCTTTGTTAGTTCCTCCGATTTTTCTTCTTCCTGTAAAGTTACCATTTTGGAGATACACGGTTTTGTTCCGACAGCAGCAATATGTTAACCAACATAGCCATCTTACAACTGATTTTACACAAACTGAGCCCAACAGAACAGTCTTCAATCAGCTGTAACCCATTTCTTAAATTTGTAGTTTCTGCTCAATTAAAGGCCGATTAAATATTTTTATTTTTAAATACTTAGAGACATTACAGGGTACTCAGGGAACACAGAGGCTGTGTTACATAGAAAATTACTGTTACATTAAAGGATTAACGGCATCACTGAGCCTTAATTTCACGTGTCCGAATATTTACAGTATCGTATGGAATGCAGCATTATTTACACTGAAATGAGCTGATTATGGTGCTGTCATGCTTCATGGACGGATAGCAAACTAATTAATGATGTATCATGTGATAAATAATTAAGCCTGGAATCTCTTCTTATTGTGAGCAAACAATAACAGACATCTTAGAAAATGATATGTAAAATTATTTATCTAGTAAGTGTTTATTTGTTCCAAAAACATTAGAATGGCCCAATACAAATAAACAAATAACAAATCCATTATGATTTCATGTGTGTTGGCTCAACCATTTTCTGAATCTCTCCTGGATGAAGTCTAATATTTACAGTCACTATTCAATGTCTAATTTATTTAATCAGTTCTTCATTAACTTAAATCCGGTGCTGCGGCGAGACGTCAGCAAACGTGTGTTCTGCTAACAGTATTCATCATACTAAATAACTGCACAGCCAAGATGGGTTGAAGCATGATATTACTGGATGGATGAACATTATTTTTCCTCACCTGCTGGTGTCAAAACTCGTAGACTAACAAGGTTAAAAAATCAATTTTGCTCTGAGGATGATGGTAAGCGGAAGTTAAAATGCAGCACATGTCTGTGTGCATGCAGGTTTAGTTAACCAAGAATGCTAAGACCAGTCAGCTGTTTGACTTAGAAGAGGGCAGCTCTAAATATTTAAGACAGTATATATAATCATTATACTCTAAAAGCAAACAAACAAACACAAATACACAACAACAACGAAAAAAATACAGTAACAGTTGTACTACGATATTTTGATCTATTCAGGAGGTACGTAACTAGAAAGTGACTGCCCGTCTTGGCATTTCTGCAGCAATCCCACCGCCAGCTGTGTTCTGATGCCAGTTTTGTAGAGGGAAACATCTCAGCTGCTGTAGTATATGTGCTAAAACACTGCACACATGTGAGAGAGCAGTGAGAACCCATTGGGAGCTTTCTGTCTCTGCTGGCTGCCAGGCCTCAGCACCAGTGCTTAGTCAAAGGTTGAGCCATGTTTTTTACGGGTGACATTAGAGATGATGACATTTCAGTCCCGGCTATAGCTGCAGGGCCTAAAACACCCCCCTCTCCCCATCTCCCTCCATCTCCCCTCACTTGCACTCACCCAGGCAAGCACTGTGCTGACAGATGCGCTTGGTCCCCCAAGATATAGCATGTGTGGGCGAAAGTGTGACTGTTCATACAGCATTTGTTTATCCGTGTTTATATGCATGCAAGCACAAGCTTCACTTAGCATGCGTGTGCTCTACAGGGCAAAGTCAGCTGAAACACTAACCTTGTAAAATACATGTTTACTTTATTCAAGATATAAAAAACAGTGACCCATTTATTAACAGCATCAAAAGGGCTTGATTGAATGTCTTTGGCGATAGTGTACAAATAGTTATCAATACAGAGAGTGAAGGCTTTTCCTATACAATACATTATAGAGTATATCGCAAATCAATGGCATATTCTTCTGGTTAAAGCCACACTAACCACTTGTTGTACAAACCCAATTGCACAAGTTGGAACAGCATGTAATTGGTAAATTCGCTTTGACCTGTATTTAAATGAAAGCAGTACAAAGATATTTATGTTTTATCTTATCAATTTCACTGTCCCTTTTTTGTAAATATACAATCATTCTGAAATTGACGCCTGCAACGTGTTCCAAAAAATCTTGAGATAGAGGCAACGTACGACAAAGAATGGCATTACATGCTCATCATTTTTTTTAAACAGGTGATAGCATTTGCAATGATTGGGGGTATTTCACCGTCTACGGTTAACAATATTTTCACAAAATTAAGGGAATACAGAAAAATCTTGCATAAAAAGCAAGGCTGAAAACTGCAACTGAATGCCGGTGACCTTCGACCTCTCAGGTAGCAGAATATCACCGCATGGGCTTGGGAATACTTTGACATATGATTGTCAATCATTGTAAGTAGTCCTAATGTAATGATTTCTGCCTATGTATTTATAATGTTGAAGTACTCAAAGGTTTCATGTATGCCACACATTTTTACAGGCCAATTTTCAACCTCTCTCATAAAATCTCATAGAATTTAACTTGCTGTTCTTGTTACCGTACCTACTAAGGAAAAAGCGAGAAGAGCTGTAACACAGGGCAAGTTATAACACCTACAGTTTCACCAATGAGAAAGAAGCTACAACTTTTGTAAACAATCACCCTCCCATGCTGACATAAGAAATTGAAAAACTTTTGGTGAAAAGAAAGATATTTATGTAACAAAGTAAAAAAATTCACACTTGAGAATGAAGTGAGTTGTAACACTCATTTTCTTTGTGGGGGATATGGGCAGGTATGCTGTTATGGCCAAATGACTGGGTCCAGATATCGTTGAAACGGCAGAGGCTTGTCAGGTGTTCTCGATCAGTAGTGGTGAGTACCCACCAACAGTGGTTTGAGGTGGGAAAACCATGAACTGGCGACAGGGTGTTGAACTGACAGAGGGGCAGTGGTGGCACAAGTTACAGACATTTTTAATGATGGTTATGGGAGAAATGTGTCACAACACAGTGCATCACACCCTGCTGTGTAAGGGGCTGCATAGCCGCCGATCAGTCAGAGCACCAATGCTAACCCCTGTCCATCTCTGAAGGCACTTACAATGGGTACGCAAGCATCTGAACTAGACCTTGGAGCAATGGAAGAAGGTGGTCTAGTCTGACAGTCCCATTTCCCTTTTCATCACGTGGACGGCCGGGTACCTGAGAACTGTTTATCTGGGGAAGTGATTGCACCAGGATGCACCGTGGGAAGAGGACAAGCTGGTGGTAGGATGTTCTGCTGAGAAATCCTGGGTCCAGACATTCATGTGAATATCAATTAGAGATGGGCCATCTACCAAACCATCACTGAAGGCACTCCTTCATGGCAATGGTATTCCCTGGGGGCACTGGCCTCTTTCAGCAGGACAGGACACACTGTTCAGGAATGGTTTGAGGAACGTGACGAAGAGTTCAAGGTGCTGCCCTGACCTCCAAATTCCCCAGAGGTCTCGTAGAGTCCATGTTTCAGTGGGTCGGAGCTGTTTTGGTGGCATGCCGAGTAACGAGAACATATTAGGCAGGTGGTCACGATGATTTGGCTCTTCTATGTACAAACATACTATAAGATGCAACTGGCTTATTCCACATTAACGTGACAAACGCTAACTCGACAAAGTGCAGAAGCCGGTGGCTACTATTCTACCACATCTGCTTCCCCTCCCTCTGGCTTCCCTCCCCAAAGCCACATAGACAAAAATGACAGGGTGGCAACAGAAATGCTGGGCTCAGTGTGTTCCAGCTCAGCCTGCAGCCCACACTCAAATGAATGAGGGTCCCTATTAGCAGTGCAATGTCATCAAAGTGCATGCTTGTGGACATCACAGAGAACAAACTAAGTCACTGAAGTCTGCTTTCGCCAATGGGTTGCTGGCTTGCAGGAACGTTCATTATGAAGCATCCCGAGATCGTCTCTGAATGTCTCCTACGAGAACAAAACAAGCAATTTCCAGTCAAGATAAAGCAGACAAACGAAGAGGAATACACGGTGACTCAGCGCACTCAGGAAGCGGCGTGTTCGGAATGCGATGTGTAATGACGCTAGCGTGCCACAGTGCATAAATTGGACACAATGGTTCTGGTGTCTATTCTGAACCATCAAACAACAAGTGTTTCTGGTAAATTGAGTCATGTTGAGCTCTGGATTCAACACAAGCTTTTGTCAGGCCTGTCAAAAGATGGTCATTTGTTTGTGTTTGTCTTGTCTTAGCGTGATAGGGCCTCCTCGGAGGTAATGAGAAATGTGAATAAAAATGACCCACAGAAGGATGATGGGGGTGTCATAGGATGAGGCGGGAAATCAAAGGTGACAGGAAGAAAATGAGTATGTCTCTGGCAAATATACACAAACCCAGTTTGGGCTCTGTCTTTTTGTTGCGTCTTGGGCTTCCGGAACTCTAGAGTCTTTCGCAAATGAGTTTCTAACTCGTGTTTTGATTGCATGGAGGCTAAAAAACACCAAGTTAGATTCAAGCCAACAGAACTTCTCCTTCTGCTACTCCGACTTTCTCTCCTTCCCTCCAGGCGCCTGTTCTGTTTGTCCGGGGGTGCTTTTCTCTTTGTTAGCGTAGAGCTTTGCGTGACAGCTCATTCTGCGCCATCCTCAGCTTGCCATCTTCTCCCTGAAGTTTACTTCCCTCCCCTAATATGCTGCCAGAAAGACTTCTTTTTGAATGTTTTTTAAGAAAACAACATTGATTGCCAATCAGCCCTGCTCTGGCATTTTGTCTTCCTCCTATTGTTTTGTCAACCAAGTTACAGTTGCTAGTTATTCGATGCTTTTGATGGAAAGCCACTTGTCAATACGTGTAGAATGATGATCATTCACAAGATAGACAGTACTGTGCAAAAGTCGTCCTTTATTTATTTAATTTCCAGTAAACACAGCTACAGCTATACAGTTTTTCATTTTTCAGAGTCAAGAAAAAAGCAGAATTTCACTGAAGTCTCAACAACCACATATAATATCACTTTTTAGTGTGTCCACCCTTTACCTCCATTCTATTCAGAAGGCTTGCTTTCAGTTTTTTGAAGAAATTTGCAAGGGTATTTTCCACAGCTCCAAAGTTCAGTCTTAGGAGTTGGCTGCATTTTCTGTCTTTCATGATCTAAATAATCCCAAGCACATTCAGTGATGTTGAGGTGTGGATTCTTTTACTTGATTTGCACATTTTCTTCCAACATTTATAGATTTCCTCAGATTTGAAGCAAAGATGAAAGCTTTAAGAAGGTGAAGTGTATCTAAAGGTGACAGTCTTGGTGGTCTACCAGGTCTTGAACGGTTGTTAAGAGACCCATTTCCCTTTATAACTGTAAATAATTTATGACCTTCAGTTTCAGAGACTCCTGTACTTTCTTATGCAAGTGGTTTATCTTATCTAATTTCCTCAGAAACATCTCAGAAAAATAAATATCATTGGTGGCTATTTTGATTGGATATCAAATAGATGAATGGTGGTCTCTGACTTTTGCACAATACTGTTGAATGTGAGGCAAAAGAGGCTTAAAGATCATCAGTTGATGTTTCTTTTCAAGACATTGGCAGGTAAAGTGGACCATTGTAATTTTGGGTCAGTGAGTAAAAAAGAAAAATCGTATTCCTTTAATGACACGATACATCTCCATTCATTTAAAAACAGTACAGACATGCAGTGGCCATTAATGCTAACATATTTTCAAACAACCCCTTGGTTGATTGTTGTATTTGTAGTGGCAAACATCACTTGCAGTATTCTCTGACGTCTTTGCCAGTAAAAGCCCATAAATTCCAGCTCATTCCCGCATCGGCTTTTAGCTAATGGTCTGGTAATGGCTGAACAGAACTGAAAGATAAACTTGTCCTTGCTCCAACTAAAGCAAGTAAAAGATTAATAAAGGCATTTACCCAGTATTTTGAGCTCGGCGCTGGAGTAGATGGCTCCGTACTTGTTCTCGGCGACGCACTGGTACATGCCGGAGTCGGCCTGCTGCACTCTGTGGATGATCAGCTCGCCGTTCAGCATCTCCACTCTGTTCTGTGGGTGGAAACAGTCAATGCTTCGCTGCACACATAATTATGTCTTCACCTGTCAGACTAATCGTTAAGCAATGCTTATTTCGCCAGCTATACGTCTGATATAAAAACTGCAAGTCTCTGCAAAGGGACACTTTTAGCACATTTGAGTGATGCGTAGATGTTTCACTCCATATTTAACTGCAATGTGTGAAGTAATATATGCTTACTGTACCCATTAGGGGCTTATGGTGTGACGGGGTGTAATATCTGGTGTGTGAGAGCGCTCCTGTGCGCCACTGGGTGACCTGACACATAGGCTGGTGTCAAAAATCCCATTAAAGCCCCAGGAAGCAGTTAATTATGACAATTTTTAAAGCACATTTAACCTCTGTATTTTTTTCTTCTCCATAAAAGATTCATATAAATTATTTGTTCAAAGGATAAAACATTTTCAAAGTTCAATAAGCATTGCTTTTCTTTCACAGCTGACTGAGATGATACCATGACAGCATTAACACTCCAGTGTGTTATCTCTCTGTGAGTACACACTGTTTAGCCTCATAGAAATGATGGCTTAGATCACTGATGCATGGGCATAATCATCTTCAACTATCAACTGATAGCGCCAAAGTCTCAGCATGCATGCATATGCAGTACTGGGCAAAAGTCAGAGACCATCCTTCATTTTTTAGATAAGATAGGATAAGATAATCCTTTATTAGTCTCATAACAGGAAAATCCTCAGTGCTACAGCAGCAAAGGGACAGCAAGGCACTCAAGAAGAGGACAAGAAGAGAATTAACAAGCAAGTAATTAACGATGTTAATTACTTTACAAGGTGCTTAGTTTGTTACTTGTTACTTTATAGACAAAATATATAATACTTAAAGAAAAATATAAGATAAAAATATAAAAAAAAAAATTCATTTACAGTTAAAACAGCCAAGTAGCTCAGAAAACTTTTGATGTTTTCTTTTCAGGAAACTTGCTTCCAGTTTTTCAAAGAAGTCTGCAGGGATTTTTTTTTCTACAGCTTTACAGCTGTTCAGTCCTAGAAGTTGGTTGCATATTCTGTTTCTAATGGTCCAAGTAAACACCTGATTTTGAGGTCTGGACTCTGGGGTGGCTGTCCACTGTTCTGAGAACACCAGCAGCTTCTTTGACTTGAAAACTTACTTCTTTTTCTGTCTATTTCCTTTTCTCAGTAAGGGCTTTTTGACAGCTACACATTTCTTTTACTGTTTACTGTTTATCTGTTGGTGACAGTTGTTGATCTGCACAGTTGTTAGGAGTCACATTGAATCGCTGTATCTTTTATTATTTTTTTTGAACCCCAGATTTGGAACCTTTTTTTTTTTACTTTTCGTCCTTTGACTTTCCCCTTCCTCATGCAGGTGGATCACCTTTTATCTAGCCTCTTTAAAATAACTTGTACTCAATGTCTGTTTTGACTGGACATTAAATTAATTAATGGTGGTCTCTGACTTTTGTACAGTAACTGTAAATGCATGCCAAGGTGCCATTTTAATCAATGCATCTGCCATACAGGTGACTTTTTGTAGATCTACCTTTACTAACTATAGCTTATCTTGGAATGGGACCATGATAGGACCACCACTGACCAGATGTTGTTTTGCTGTTGGACAATTTTCAAAATAGCAGTGGTACCAACATAGTATACTGATGTTTGGTGGTCGTATTAGTGTATCAGTGATAGATCAGGTGTTGCTGGGGTTTTTACATACTTCAATATCACTGCTTGGTTGAGAATAGTTCACCTACCAAAAATATCCATCCAACATTGGTTTGTCTGACAACTAACACAAACTGTACAAGGAAAAATATGGTTTCTTTCCATCGATGAATGTCTAGAGGGTGGCTGATAAATTGTGCATCAATTGTGTAGCAAACTGGCAACCGTGTGTGCATGAGGGTGTAACCATGTGTGGGTACAGGCTAAAGCAACATGTGCTCATACACTGATCAGGCATAACATCATGACCACTGCCATGTTTCTACGCTCATTGTCCATTTTATCAGCTCCACTTACTTTGTAGTTCTACAGTTACAGACTGTGGTCCATCTGTTTCTCTGCATACTTTGTTAGCCCCCTTTTACCCTGTTCTTCAGTGGTCAGGGCCCCCATGGACCCTCACAGAGCAGGTACTATTTGGGTAGTGGATCATTCTCAGCACTGCAGTAACACTGACGTGGTGGTGGTGTGTTAGTGTGTGTTGTGCTGGTCTGAGTGGATCAGACACAGCAGTGCTGCTGGAGTTTTTAAACACCTCAGTGTCACTGCTGGACTGAGAATAGTCCACCAACCAAAAATGTCCAGCTGACAGCGTCCTGTGGGCAGCGTCCTGTGACCACTGATGAAGGACTAGAGGATGACCAACACAAACTATGCTGACACACATGAGCTGCTGTCTCTGACTTTACATCTACAAGGTGGACCAACAAGGTAATAGAGTGGACAGTAAGTGGACACAGTGTTTAAAAACTCCAGCAGCACTGATGAGTCTGATCCACTCAGACCAGCACAACACACACTAACACACCACCACCACGTCAGTGTTACTGCAGTGCTGAGAATGATCCACCACCCAAATCTGCTCTGTGAGGGTCCATGGGGTTCCTGACCACTGAAGAACAGGCTAAAAGGGGGCTAACAAAGTATGCAGAGAAACAGATGGACTACAGTCTGTAACTGTACAACTACAAAGTGCACCTATATAGTAAGTGGAGCTGATAAAATGGACAATGAGCCTAGAAACAAGGAGGTGATCATAATGTTTTGCCTGATCGGTGTATGTGTGGGTGCATGTGTGTACCTGTGGGCTCAGTGGTTCGCCGTTGCGCAGCCAGCGGTAGGTGGGCCTGGGCTTCCCTGTGGCTCTGCACTCCCACTGTAACTGCTCTCCACTGTCCAGCTGGGAGTCATTTATCATACTGATCCACTGGGGCATGGCTGCCAGAGAAACAGAGACACACGTGGGACACACTGAATATTCGCAAGTCAACAAAATCAGTACACACACTCACCCACATAACGACAAAATCTTACATAACCTTCCCTTGGATGTCTGTGGGCTGAAGTTTGTAAACTATGTATCATGATTTTAATGAAGTTTTTCCTTGTCTTTAAATTAAAGACTCAAGTGAACAACATCTCCCACAGCGTTTACTAACTGTTGTGTGCGAAAGGAGCAAAACTAAACTGTCGCTGAGTTTATGAAGCTAAAATTCAACATCCATCATTTCAGCTAATTGGATCAGTCAAAGCTTTCTCCTAGTAATTAGCCAGTTTGCCGTTGTAGGACCACCACATAAAAAACACTCAAAGTGCAGCGGACACAGCTCTGTCTGGTGTAGCCTTGTCCTGTGGTGGATGAATATGGATGAAAGCAGAAGCAGTGACAGTTTTCAGTGAGGCAGGTTGGCAGAGGAGTATTGGGAGCACATTTGTACCATCCGGTGCGTTACCTTGTGGAGGACGACTCGAGAGAAAATATCAATTCGGTTGTACATGCTTTACAAATTGGTGCTAACCAATGCAAATGCATGACAGGGTTAGTATACACGTTGCTAAAAACACTTAAGTGCAGAGCCTGCACATTTGCACAGGACGATTCTTTTTGTTGTCTTTTTATGTGTGAGTTGCAGGTCTTAGTTCACGTGACGATGGATGACAGAGCTATGGGGATTAAAAGTAGACGATTTGCAGCTTTGGATTAGATACAGTACTGTAGCCACAGGTCACTCTACTTTTGTTTAATTGATGGTCGAAACAACCATTAAGCACAAGTCAAGTCAAAGTTTATTTATGTAGCGCTTTTTACAACAGGTGTTGTCACAAAGCAGCTTTACAGAAAAATCCAGCCCCCATGAGAGACAGTGGCAAGGAAGAACTCCCTAAGAGCAAGAGGAAGAAACACTGAGAGGAACCAAGACTCAAAAGGGGAACCCATCCTCCTCTGGTCGACACTGGATAGCAAACAGCTTTAGTATAAAATATTAGAATACAAAACGGGGAAAAACAGGCGGAGCAACAGTTAATTAGACAGTTTGAGTTTATGCAGCAGCAGCCTAGTCATTAATTTCTAAGGAGATTAGACATAAGATAATCCACTTGCATAAGGAAGGAGAAAGTCAAGGGAAAATCAGTTGAGTTTTCAAAACTGGAGCTCAAAATATTATCAAACGATAACTGGGACTCCTAACAACCATGCAAGATCTGGTGGACACCAAAACTATCACCATCAGATAAACAGCAGCTCCATTTCTCATATCTGAAAAAAAATCCACAGCTGTTTCTGTTCAGCCACTGTGAGAAGACAACTCAACCCTATGGGTCTGAAAAGATGTGTAGCTGTGGAGAAGAATTACTGACAAAAAGAAAAACACGACAAAGAAGAACATTAGCAAATGAAACAAAGAAGGTGCTGGTGTTCTCTGAACAATGAACTGACCGCTCCAGAGTCCAGACCTCAACATCACTGAATGTTACTTGGATGGTGAGAAGCAGAAAATGCAACTTCTAAAGCCCAATTCAGATTTGATTGGTTTGACATGATGAGACTGTGTAAGAAATAACTACAAGAGTGAATGCAGTGATAAATCGAGTCATTTATACCGTGATTTCTTATCCAGGGATGAATGAATCAAAAATTTAAACAAGTCCCGCAGTAAACTGACATTAAAGTGCCCCGGCCCTGTTGTGCCGCTAGAAAAGTACCACCGGGAGTCAAAACAGGTGTTTAGATTTTCTCATAATTGCTTGCAGGGGCCCCTCAGTGGCTCAGCCCCCTGGGCACGAAACCCGTAAAACCCAGTGGATGATCTGGGCCTCCTCCATCTCACAGTACAGACACATTAATTCAGTAGGTGGGTGCCCTTGGGTTTTTCTGCCTTGCATTTTATTTTTAGTCTGGTGGAACAGTAGAACTGGAAAGACTGTTTTGATATGTTTCTTTCTGTTTTTTGGGCTCCGTCTAGGTTCACTCTCAGCAGACTTCTCCACATCCAAAGGTCTAGATTCCCTTTTCTTATCTGCTGGTGAAAGCATATGTAGTTCCACATCAAATGAGCTTATGTTAAATGCCAGGCGCTTCACTCCTCTCTGGTTATTCGCACATGCAGTCCTAATAAACTGCTGTAGTTTGTAACAAAAACACAAAAAAACAGAAACACGGCAGAAATGGAAATAATGAAAAAAAAAGCAAAACAATAATTCTTTGTAGCAGAAATCAATAAAGTCAGCCCACAGGAGAAAGACGCCTCTCTGACTCAATACGGCTGCCGGCACTGTTTCAGGCCTTTCTGCATTATTCACCGGGCTGAGTGTTGGTTCTATTGAGAGTAGGTCCAGCAGACAGCAGGAGTGACCTTAAAGCAAGGATTTGGGCCCTTGAGTTATGAACCCTGCCCGTGCTTGTGACGCCCACTTCCTGTCCACCACACTTCACCACGAGCCAGCGGCTGAGATAATGAAGCCGGCGCGCGGCCTTGGGGCAGATGCGCTCTGATGCCCTCTGGGGGGCTCCGAGTTTTGGGGCACAAAGCACTCTGGCCTGCAGCTGCCTGGCGCGGGCTGTAATTTACACTCAGTGGCGTGTAGAGTTAATCCTGCTCTTGGAAAGAGTGAGGCTTTCTCTGACCATGGTCATTCAATCACGTCATACAGAGAAAAACAAGACTGCCTACTGAAAGGATCATGCATGAAGTGTAAAGCTGGCATCCAAAAGATGCAGTAGGGGACACAGAGACTGGCAGCAGTAAGTGGGGACCGAATTACTGCACTTTGACTCACAGAACTGTGCAGTTCATACTGTCGTTTTGATATGCTATTTACATTACCATTAAAATTAATTACCTGTGCTTAAGTGAAATTTGAATTGTAATGTAGGTCAAAGAAACCTGAATTTTTTCCAAGTAATTTTGGGCCATTTCTTTTGCAACAATTTTCAAACTGTGTCAAAAACTGAAAAATTCAAAATGGAGAAACAAGGTTTTGTTCCGACAGCAATATACATATATATTCTGTACAAGTAAAAAAAAACATATTTAACGGTAAATTACACAAAAGCCTTAAGAGTATTAAGTGTGTCCACCCTTCACCTTCATGACAGTCTTTCCAGCCAGTCCATGGTATCGAGAACACCAGCAGCTTTGTAAAATTTGCAAATTTTCTTCTTTTTTGTCTATGTCCTTTTCTCAGTGAGGCTTCTGGACAACTACACATCCTTTCAGACCCATAGCGCTGAGTTGTCTTCTCCCAGTGGAAGGATGGACAGACACACCTGTGGAGCTTGATTTTCTTCTTCTTTTTTTCAATTTTTATATAAACTTTAATTTAACCACGCAAGTCATTGAGAACATATTCTCATTTACAATGGTGGCCTTGCAAGCAGCAGAAGCTATTTGAGGTCTGGTTGATTTTTTGAAGTGAAAGTAAGCTAATATAACTACTGTTTATTTGCTGAATTAAAAAAAAATACTAATTTTTTGCAACATTATTTTTAGCAAGTAAATCAAAATTTTACATTAAAATTTGCAGAAAAATGAAAAATGTTCCTCTAGAAGATGTCTTAACTTATTCAACTTAGAAAATCAACCTGTAATTTGATGGGGGGTGGGGGGTATTCCGACTTTGGCATATGACTGTATCTTTTAATAACTGTTGGAACTCCAGTTCTGGAAAGTCTTGATTTTCAATGTACTCTCACCTTTCATACTATCCTCAGAAAAAAATCCTGAAAAAGTGAATAACTTTATGACCATTTTGACATAAAATGAACTAAACAAAGGTTGGGTTTGACTTTTGTACAGCACTGTACGGGTTTGACTTTGCACTTCCATCTTTCTCCATTTGTTTCGGTGTCAACAAATTACAAACCTTTGCCAGTGTAGAGGATAGTTTATCTGTTCGCTATTGATTAAAAATGTAGAATCTGCACTTTTGATAGAACGTATCCACTTCCTTCAATGAGTCGTTTAAAATAATAACCCACCTTTGTCACTGGTGATAACTGTGACTTCTAAGGGTTAAAGGAAGCATATTTTTGATCAATGAAAACACATACAAGATATTCCAGTAAGCCTGTGCCATTTCAGTTCTTTGTTTAAATCATCTTCCTGCCAAAACACAGTGATAATGCTGGATATGTGATTAAAATAAAGGTCTGAAAATCATCACCATTATAATTATAATCCCAGTTATCAAGATATCGGTGCGCTCCACAATTCACTGAGACACTTCTGTAAGTCTGACAGTGGAAAAAAAAAAAAATTAATAGAGAACATTTCATTTCTCCAGTCAAGTCGAAATGGGAGCTGCTTCAGTGCCAAGTAATAGAGAAAGCTTTCTGAGGCATCTTGCTGAAGATAACTGGACCACTGAAACAAAAGAATAATCTCTCACATTAACAGTGGGAAATATCTTCTTTGGCACAGAGCTCTCGCAGAGGTGCTATCCTCTCCACTAGGGCAGCACGGCGAGCGGCACGGCTTCAAATCCCTTCATGGTACACCGAAGAAATAAGATTAGATATCAGATGTGTGCTGCTCTGCCAATGTATTCTGTCAGTGAACCCTTTAATATGGCAAGGTCCCAAGTTGTGGTAAGAAAGTTTGAAAAGTTTGAAGGATCTTTAGCAGCCAGACTCCATTGTGTTCATTCCTGAGGATCTTGGTGATCACTGGTGTTTATTTAAAGTCCAGAAATGTAATTAACATAGTTTAATCTCACATCTCATCAGACGTCTATTATGAGTTGTAATTAGTTTTATGATTGTCGTAAAATTGCATGATGCCCTAAACTGTTTCTGGGAGTTACTTCCTGTCAATAATGTTCTTCGAAAAATAAAAAACCACCCTATATTGCCAAACTTGATAGGAGAATAAAAATGCTCTCAACTCCAACATACAATTGAGCTATTACACAGCTATTACACAAATTGGTTATGAATA